TCGGGCAACGGCTCCTTAGAAGAACTGTCCTACGATTATCTGTTTGTGTCTGTTGCTCCCGTGTGTCAGCTAGCGGTGTACACTGTCTACGCAGGGACATGCACACCGTACACGAAGGTGTTCCTGAGAGTTGATACACGCCTCAGTATGAGCATGCCCTTATGTGAACGTGTGGGACTCGGACGTACCATTCGGCATAGGACGTGAAGTCGACGAGGATCTGCCATACTTTGTCTATGGGCGCGTCAATAACGGACGATGCGCTGATCATCAGTGGACCCTGGAAAGACGGAGACGGTAGATTTGACATGAGAAGAATATACGCTCCTTGTAAAAGAACACTGCCGCGGTGAGCAGTATCAGGTGAAGGTCAAACTCAAACTCAGATCGTCAAACTCTCAGCGTCCTCGTTGCATCATTGATCGAGACCACATCAAGATCGGACCCACACGCGTGCCTTTCCAAAATCCGGTATCCCTTAATCTCATATCAAAATCTTCTACAGGACGGGAACGATCCTCTTCTAAATGTGTTGATCTCCGCATCTGGAGAGTGTTGCATTACCACTGCCTCCACCGTAACCAAGTTTAGCGAGTGAAAGTACTTTCCGGGAAGTGAAGAAACCACCCAGTTTGAGACCCGTGAGACACGCGTCGGGAAACGTGCGGCCAACGGCACAATTGCGTCCATCAGGTACTGCTCCAAGTTCTGACTGAGCAACTCAAGTTTCTGAGTTAGAGATTACTGCGTCTCCCATTCCTGATAAGTAACGAGTTGAGCCATGAAGGCAGACCCTTATATCACCAGAAAATTCCGATAGCATGCGTCTTGCTATAATAAGTCGGGACTCGGAGGGTTTACTTAGTACCGGCGCCGTCGCGTGTGGCCACTTTTCAATATAATTCTGCAGTGGACATGCTTGTAGATATCCCGGTTTATCAATGACTTGCGAAGGTCTTCTTTTTCTGACGGCCACTGGCCAGAACACAGCGACGGCATCTCTGGTGTTAGTTCAGTTACAATAGTACCATCACGCAGACTGAAAGACCAAGGTAAATTCCCGAGTCTATTCTTCAGGCGAGTACCGCAAATGCAATTTCCGGCAGCGGACAATTTTGTAACCTTCGCGTCTTTTGAGCACACGAAGTATTATAGGCACCTCGTCGAGAAGGATACATCGAAGAAGGCGTATGAACGACAGTACGTGCGTAGGCCGCTTGCAGAGGATATTTCCGAGTTGAGAAGATGCGCTGTCATGGTCTCAAACACACTCCGATCAACCAAGCATTTATTGTTTTATGAAGAAGAATTACTCAGCAGGAGCAAGATGCAGTATATGTGACAGAATGCGAGAAAAATGCATGCGGATCGAGTCCTAAAGTACGACCTAAGGGGGTTTGTAAATAATTCAAGCGGTCCTGTCCTGGAGTGAGAGACGAGACAAAATGGATCGGTACCTCTATCATAGCGCAGCCTAATTTAAAATCGTCTTCAAGTTGCGCTTCGGCTTTGACTTCTATTTGTCCTTGGCCTTGGAGGTAGTTGGATCCCTAGAGACTGTTTCTGAGGACGAACTGGAAGTAGGACTCATGGAGTCTTGAGATCCGTTATTTCCTTCCCGTCGCGTGACTCGTCGTCCAAAGTCAGGCTTACTCATAGGTCCCATGAGCACAAGGTCGTCATCCAGTTGGTCACCATTCGAGGCTTCTTCGATCATGATGCGTTTTCCGATCGCCTTCGATACAGGAGAGCCTACCAAGGCAAGCACCTGCACCTCACGAGCTGTATAGTCATGCGGCGGAGGGACGATTGCTGCCCGTGGGTCAACATCGAGGGCACCCACCTCGATATCCTCGACCTTAGCGTATTGCAGGGCGTCCCCTAAACGACGCATGAAGAAAGCAGCAACATTAACCGCGACAGTGTGATCGATCATAGCCATGGATGTGGCGTCGAACTCCACTTCTCTGTAGCGCGCCTCTAGCTGCTCCCGCATGTGCTTCAGGGTACTTGCTATTGGCCGGACAGCCCCATGTAGGCGAGGGATCCATGCTGGAAATGTATCCTCGCTCGTCATGAGTGTGTGCCTGTAATGGCTTGAGTAGAACATTTCCGCTGCACACATGCGTTGTTCTTCGTAGTTTCCTAGCTCGGCGGCGCCCATGGGCGGCATCTTTCCGCCGACGAGGATGACAGCTCTGTTGAAAATGAAATAAGCCGCGAGCCACCAAAGGGATTCGAGATCGTGGAGGGGATTGTATCGAAACACCGCGTTTTCGAGAGCTGCGTTTGTCACAGGTTTAATATCGTCAGCTAATTCGCCTGATTGAAGCATGTCGCGTTCTTGCCGAGCTGAAAGTTTCGACGTGTCAAGGACAGTCTTCGTCTTCGTCCCATTGAAGTAATATTTCGTGCCTTCTACCTCGACGGCCATGAATTCCTGCGTTCCCTGTTTCAGGTACGTCAGATAACGAAAGTCTTCATATTGGATATGGATAAATTATACTCACTGTACGGATCTCATGGTACCCTTTGTCTGGAGCGCTGACTTTCATAGTGTACTCGAGATCTGCGAGCTTGCCTACCATTCGGCCATTGCGGATGAACCCGAGCACATTGCCCGAACTGATATCGCGATGCACCCATCCAGCTTTGTGCATGATCTTCAAAGCTGAGATTGTGAAGTGTGAGTCTGTGCAAACGGCGACGGCAAGATTGCTTGAACTCACCTGACAATGCGTCTATCAAAATGGCGAAAATGTCTTTGAGCGAAGTTACATCATATATAGGCTTGCACACTTCCTCGAAAACGATACGGTAGTGGACTCGCGGATGATGCAAATGAGGTCTCGGAGTGGCTGGTTTTTTCTGCGGTTTCTGTGAGCGAGGGTGCCCAGTTCCGGAGTTTGACGGAAAGCTTGCTCCAGTGTTGTTGGTTTTCGTGCATATGCCATCCTTCGGGCGCCCTTGAAGCTTGAAACTTCCATAATCAGCCGGAATATCATAGCCACGTCTCATGACCTCTCGAGTGTCGTCTCGCGCTCCTTCAATGTGAACGTCGCCGTGAACAATCACAGTCAGGCAAAGCTCGGCGAGAAGATCCCGCTCATCCGGGTCGGACACCGAATCCAAAACGGCTTGCATAATACTTCCTTCCCTGGGTCTATCGTGGTCGATCCATGAATCTTTCAGCGCAACAAAGTCGCCCTCTGGTTGTTTATTCCTATTCAACTTCCTTGCTTTCCAGACCCGTGTTCCTCGACCTGGCCCGCCATGAGCGCCATGATCGGAGAGGAGGCCATATGTGCGGTACCAAGTCCGTCTTTTCTTGTCGTCTTGCATCAAGATATTTAAGCACGGTGCCCCGTCTTTCCCGGGAACGAGTTTGTGTTTATCTTTGGGATCCACAACGTACTCGATAGTAGGATCCCAACCGACCTGGTGTTCCTTTGCGAACATCATTGCTAAGAAAAAATGCACGACAGCCTTGCAGTCCTAGGGAACACCTGGTGAGAGACAATCATTCCAATTATAGAGGCCCACTTACTGTTCTCCAGTCAATCGTTTCACTAACGAGGGTATCTGCACGGCTAGAGAACCACAGCCTCATGGTATTGTTCTCGATAGTCATACCATAGACAAACCGGTGCCTTGCATCCTCACGCATGCATTGGTGCATGCTCCAGAGGACCTTGAGCACATCCTGTGGAAAGGTCAATCGATGGGAATTGTAAGGAGCTTGACAACGCACATCATCTTTATCGCCCTGCCGGTCTCTCTTCTTGTATTCTGCACATAATGCCACGTCTTTCCACTGAAGGCGCGCTGGCCTCTCCTTCAGTACGAAACAGCCGTCGGGCCTGGTTTCCGATGTCCTTGTATAGGCTTCCGGTGACTCGCTGGGCTGCTGAACGAGTTCCAGGAGCTGGTCTTTCTCCTTTCCGCCGCTTGCTGAGACAATCTTTCGCGCGACATTGACGAGCGACTTGAAGTAATCATCTTCCTTTAAAGACGCCTTCTTTGGATCATCGGGTAGAACAGCCCAGTGGCCATCGACAATATCGCCATCTTTCTTGAGCTTTTTCATAGTCTTGTCGACATTGATCCCTCTGCGTACTTTGGGAACCAGTGCCTTCATGAAATAGCTGACAGGCACCTGGGGAATCGCCTTGCCAATGTCTTCAATGACTGCCTGACGTCTGGCATCGGTGTCACCTTGTAGATATGCATCCCTGCTAGTGGCCTTTGGGGCAGAGGGTGTGCCGTTAATATTGAGGTTCGAAAATTTCTGACAGACGGGGGATTCCAGCTTACGATCCATAGGGGACGCGGGTCTTGGATTGAGGTCGCTCGACACATCTCTTAAATATGAATATATGCGGACGGTGTGGCTTGTGGACTGGGTGGCTCGCCGTGAAAAGTACGTGGCTGGTTTGAAAGCATCAGTGATGGCGTAGGAGAACAATGGTTCAGCACACGCGACGTGCCTTCGGGTGGTGATGAGAGAAGCAATCGGGTGGCGAAACCGATCGACCCGGTTCAGATACAAGAGAATTACTTTGTGTAGTCAGAACTGAAGGCAGTTCCTGGACAAAGATGGAACTTGGCGCATGGAACACGGGCAAAGCCACAAACGCGTCAGTCACGTGCTCTGCGCCGGGAGCCGAGTTCGAGTTCTTGAATCTTGATTTTTTCGGGGCTCTGCTAGGAGTCTGTCTCATTGATGAAACCAGTGTATACTCTAGCTCCCTAGATTATAAGTGCATTCAATGCGGCTAAAAGACCCTTCCTTCATCGTCAAGATAGATTTCTACTTTCGACGATACTGACAATGTTCGCAATGATGGACGGGCTCTTCTCCTTGCCCTCCTTGCTTGATCAGATTGCGTCGGTATTCTAGGATACCTTCGCTGCCAAGCATATCCTGGTATACGCAAATCAGTCCAATATTCTACATTGTGATTGTGATGGTCAAAGCGATAGGCGCGTTCAATACCGCTTGCGTCCTCGGTGCCGTTGTCGACCATGACTGTCCTCGCAATATACAAGAATACAGCACGCTTGCTCGCACAGTCCTATTGCACTCTGTATATTGCGTCAACACATTAAGCAATCTCAGGTGCTAAAACCCCGTCATACGTGAGCATCCAATACGACCGCAAAGTCCTGGACTGCCCTCAAGAAAATACAATTCGCATCATAAATCGTGATTGAAAGCCTACGAGCATTGACCTCGACTCGACACATCTACCACGTCAAGTCACACTCGAACGGTCTCAGCGCACACCATAAAGGCTGCAATGGAATCGAATTGATCCCGCGCTGCTGCATGCGGAACGACACGTCGTGCAGTCGGGGAAGTGCTGCCGTCAAGTTACCGCCTGCGCCGCTCCAGAACACCTCCGCCGAGGACGCCGCGCGAGGCCACACGATCGGGTCCAGGTTCGACGGGCTCGATTGCTCCGTCCACAGGTTCTGCTGGCCACCCATGATCAGCGGGTACTGCTCCGTGGTCAGGTTCGCGAGCGGGTCGAATGTGTACGTGTACTGCCACGTCTTGAATGGGTCGCACCAGCTGTTCCCCGACGGGTCGTCTCCGATCCACTCGCCGGCGCCACAGTCGAGGTAAAAATAGTTCGACGCGGCGTGTATCACCCGGAACCCCTTCTCCGCGACCGCCTGCACGTCCTCGGATGAGATCCACACCAGCACGAGCGTCTCGTTCGATAGTGTCAGATTGTAGTCCAACACCATCTCCTCCCACACTGCGGGCGTCTTGCCCGCCTTGAGCAGCGCACCGTGCGTGCCCATGACGAATGTGTTCAACGCCTCTTCGAGGGTGGAATCGCTTGCTTTCAAGATTGCCTGCGTCTCCGGGTCCTCTTGGTAGCAGTATGTGTTCACTTCGTCTCCGCCCGTGCTCACGATTGTCGACGGGAACATCTCTGCGACGGCCGAGAACAATCCCGCAGTCCACTCCGCGACGGTCTTGTTCGCCATGCGAAGCTGGCCTGCGGGCGGCTCGGCGGCGTAGTCTGCCCATGGGCGAGCCAGGTTGCACGCGACGAAGTCAGGGTGCGCGTCGCCGATGGCCGCGGTATGGCCGGGTGTGTCAATCTCGACCAAGACATCAATCCCACGTGCGCCCGCGTACGAAACGATCTCCACGACGTCGCTCGCAGAGTAGATCATCTGCGGCGAGTACGCGCCGTATTCCGCGAGCTCCTCGTACCCGGGGATCTGGAGCGCGAAGCTCTGGCTGTCGACAACGTGCCAGTGGAACTGGTTGATCTTGACCATGCTCATGGCGTCCAACTGGCGCAGCAAGTCGGACACGGGGAAGTAGTTGCGTGCGGTGTCGAGCAGCAGGCCACGATATGGGTAGGCGGGGGAGTCCTCGACCTCGAGGGGCGTGTTGATGGCATAAATTGTACCATCGTACTCATACCACAGCTGGCCGAACGTTGTGAGACCTCTGAAGAGGCCCAGTGTGGATGTCGCTGTGATCGATGCCGCCGAGCCGTTCGAGGGGACAGTGAGCGTGTACGCCTCATCTCGCTCTCCGAGTGGCTTCTGTGCCTCCGCGGTAATAGACAGCACCGTTGAGCCAGGTGCGAGGGAGAGCGTCAACTCCGGCAAATACGGAGCAGTTTCGAACGCGCTGACGTCGCTCGCACCCCGGCCCACGACGAGCCTGCCAAGGTTGTCGGTGAATAGGTAAGCCTGGGTGCGGGCGACAGCCTCAATCAAGTCAAGAGGCGGGCTGGCAATGTCGGGCGGGAGCGTGATATGAAATCCATACGACAGACGGAGGGCGCTGGTCCCCTCACTGAGGCTGCGCGGCAGTGGCCAAAGTGCGTCGACATGGCAGACGGCCGCTAGGAGCGACGCAGCGGCGAAGACGGCGTTGAGAAACATGGTGGGTCGCTCAGCGTCAGGCAGTAAGGTGCAGTCGCGGCTGCCATGCTCTTGTATGTGTCGGTATCCCTTCACAGGCACGTATCACTTGAGATATATCCGTTATCTGCCACCTCGTGTGCGACCCGGCAGGACGTACCTAAAGAATAGGCCGAACAACAAATCACATACCACGATAAATTTGACCCATGCCGGCAACATAGGATGGCACATGAGTTCCCTTCGATCTTCTTCGCAATCCGACCGGCTTGTCCACGGCTGGCGTCGAGAGGAGACTCCGGATTAGGATTGGCAATCGATCACTCACCCACGCCTAACCCTGATCAGGAATGCGAGAGACTTTACTTGGACAGATGACAGAAATGTAAACCTGCCGTGACAGTATCGTGGTCGAGGAACCAGCTGCCCCAAGTCGCTATTGATTTGAAAGCCTACTGTTGTTCCCGGCTACCTCGGACTGTCTATGCACGAGGCGGGAAAAAATAGACAGGAGGGGCCACATGACTGCACGGGCGAGGTATTAGAGAAAACGAATCAAACACTCACGAGTCACAACAGTCTCCGGCTCCATGACCAAGCTGCAGAAGCAACTTGCGAAGCTGTATTTTAACGGCGTTGTCTGCACGAGAATAGATCCTTGCCGACCCCTGTCGCTGCAGTTTACATCGAATGTAAAGGATCAAAGATGTCCGCACCATGATTTCACCTCATCTTAACAGGCGATAACAATGGTCACGAACGTGGCTTCCAGGACCCCTCCCCTGGCAGTAGCTAAGAGACTGCTATCCACGGATGTAGCTATGCAGCGAGTCCTACATCACATTTTGTTGGATGAATATAAGAATGTTATGACATTCGATGAGGCACTCACCTGCTCATAACTTGTCTGAGACCTACGTTAGTAGTATACATGCAACTTAAGTCCCGCACACCACACGTTGAGCTAACCCCTCGTAACATAGAGATCGCAACAATGCTATTAAGTGGCAGCTATTTCAGGTCCGTGATGTAGACGGCACAGGGTATAGGTAGTGTGAAAGAGAAAAAGCAGCTCACGGCTACATGCACCAAACGCACAGCAAAAACAAACGTGCCAGGGCGGAAATCCTCCTTTCTCTTCAACTTTCCCGCACACCTCCCCCTTAGAACAAAGCAAACAGCGATAGTGCCGCCGCGCCGAGCATGACACCACCGGCAGCAACGCTGCCGGCCGCGGTCTTGATTGCACTGGAGCTGTGGACAACACCGCCCGACAACTCGCCAGCAGCTTGGGCTGCACCGCTCAGGAAGCTAGCGCCGCATAATTTCTGGACCGCCGAGTACAGCGCGCCCTGTCCGCTGAGCATTGTGCTCGCGGACATACCCGGTGCGTAGGGAACAGTCGACTCGAACGAAATGTACGACGTGAGGACGTTCCGTGCGCAAGACGTGCACGTGTTGCCCGTCGTTCCATTGGGCGAGAGGAATAGGAACAGGATGTTGTATTGGTTGAAAGTGGTCACGTTGGGGACGATTGAGATCGTCTGCTGCGAGGAGTCGCGCTTGGAAGCAGGCGATGCGGCACTTGTGGCAGAGGTCCAAAGGTTAGACGCCATTTCGGAGAAAGAGCTGGAGCCGGACGACGAGCTGGAGTCGTCGGTGCCCGTAGAGTTGCTGCCGGTCGTCGCGATGTCCAACACGCAGTACGAGCCAGTATCGCTCTTGGAGCACATCGCCTCGGAGAGCGGGATGATCGAGTACAGCACGTCATACGTGCGCAGGACGGCGCCATTCTTGTTAGTGGTAAGCTCGCTTGTGCAAGCGGCATAGAACGCGGCAAGCTGCGAACGGATGGTGGTGGAAGAGCATGCTGAGGACGAGCTGCAGAGACTGCTGAGTGCGCTCTCGACAGCGGACGTGCTCGGGCTCGAGCTGCTGTTTGCGCTGGGGCCAAATTGCGACGTTGCCTCGATGAGAGGAGCGGTACAGGTGGCAAGGCTCGAGTCGTTGTTAAAGGTCGTCAAGAAATTTGAGCAGCCAGAGCTGATGCCTGAAGGAATGAGGGCAGAAGACTACAAGCAAATTAGACCATTCAAATTCGGCCACCTCATGCTGAAAAACGACTTACAGAGGCCAGTGCCACGGCGGCGAACACGGGTATAACAGCGATGGATTTCATGGCGTAGAAATGAACGAGTGGACGGGTTACGGGGCGCGGCGAGGACGAGCTGGTGGGCGTTGAAAGCAAAAGGCGGGGGGGAACGAAAGCACTCGTCGTCCTAGCGACCACGTGATATATCTTGGCGTCCGCCTCCCGCCTAAATTCTGGTGTTCTCGGCCTCTGCTCAATCCAAGGCCTACAGGCGTCGTTGCCGACAATGTCAGAACATAAGGATTGTCACTTTACCCGCTCAATGTCGGTGGCTGGGAACCACATCACTGAAACGAGCGTTGGAGGGAGATCGGGCCTCAGCTTGACAGCGCTTATCAACCGCCCGCTCACAGTTGTACAGAAATGCTACAAATTGGTTATGATCCGTACAACAGCGTGTATACAATTTCTTTCCATGCTCAACCCCAAAATAGATGTGAATGCAATGGAACACGCTCAGAGCTCTGCAAATGAGTAGGTCAGCGCCTACAACCACGTGAAAAGGGTGAACATATACTCACTCTGCATGGCAGCAATATCCGAGCTCTGCACGTAGTCCTCGAACTCGGCGACCTTCTCCTGGAGGTCGTCCAGAGAGACCAGCTCGTCCTCTGCACAATGGGGAAATTTGATGAGTAAAAGCCTTCAGGCACGTCCACACTATAACAACGCACCGACAACGAGGGTAATCTGGAGCTTCTTGATACCGTAACCAATGGGGACAAGCTTGCTAGCACCCCAGACAAGCCCCGGCATCTCGATGGATCGTACGCTCTCTTCAAGCTTTGCCATGTCGGTCTCATCATCCCAGGGCTTCACCTCGAACGTCACGACGGACTACATAATGCATGATTAACAGCGCATTCAACACATAGATACAGAGGCACATTTTGTTTCTACTACACGGGCTACGAGGGGCGCAGAACACACTGAGACGAACCTTGGCGATGGTCTTGGGCTTGGCGGCCTTCTTCACGTTGTACGCGGCGACACGCTCAGCCTTGACGCGCTCCGCCTCAGCATCCTCTTCGTCATCCGAGCCGAAGAGATCGACTTCATCGTCGTCATCGCCCTCCGCGGCCGCAGGAGCAGAGGCACCGAAGAATGCCTCGCCAGCCGTGCTGGAGCCGGGGAGCGAAGCGTGCTCAGACACATATGACTTGACGTGGGTGTACCAGCGGGTGACGTTGGGATATAATGAGGCCTCATTGATGCCTTTGAAGACATGAACATCCGCCTGCGAGGGCGTGTACCTGGGAGGAAACAACTATCAGTTCAAAAGTCTCTCCTAAGTTTTGATGATTGTATAGAAGATCAGAAGGCTAGGTAAAAGGTTGTCGGCATACTTGAACGGCGGTGTCTAGTCGCCTCTTGGAAACACGGACCATAGCAAAACTCATCATGTCGCCCAATGCTGGACGAAGCGTAGCGTGTGCAGAAACTCACCCCTCAACGTACGACCTGGTAGCCAGGTGAGCTTCGAGCTTTGCGAGATCGAGAGACATTGTGCAGCGGGAAGGAAAGGGGAAGAAGCAAGGGATCGATGAAGGTGGGCGCGTTTACCGCGAAGGCAGAAATGAGAAAAAAAATGCAGATTTTGATCGGGTTCAGGGCAGGCGCGTTTCGTCTTCAGTTTAAGAGATGAATCAACAAGCGCCCATAGCAAACAACCTTCGCTTGCGAAGAGGCAATTTGGATGCACGATGCTAATTTCATGAACCTACCCGTGAGCGTGTTGGGTGAACCAGATAGGACGGGGGTCAAATCGTATGCTGTGAGCAGTGAGAATAGTAAGCAATTATCCGAGTATATACTCTACTTAAAGACTGTCTGGCCCTGAGATCCCATGCACTATCGTCGTCGACTAGTACGAATGACATCTTCTTGCTCTTTCTTTTTATTCTCCCACCACTTCTTCGCGTAGTCAATAGACTCCAAGAAAGAGGCTGACTTGATCTCGTGTTTCCGCTCAACGATTGGAATACCGAGCGCCCTGCGTACCGCTGGTTGGCGGAGGACCACACTCTGTATCGACATGGCTGTGATACTAGAAATAACATAGACGAGCACGCCCTAAGAGTCCGGTCGGTTATAAATACAGAAGTAGGACAAGAAATAAAGCGACTTACAGAGGGAAGATTCCACATGAGAGGGATACCGACGAGGGACAGCACGCGGAAGAAGTTAATCATGTGTGCCATATGGGGGGCGGTTACCATGTCCCGCGCGCCCAGCTTGAGAAAGTAGTATTAGCTACGTAAGACAAAATGTAGTTTCCAGTGAACTCACCGTGAGTTGAATGTTCATGGCAACTGCCGACACGACCGGTAAAATACCAGTCGGGTCCGCAAGCGTAAGGTCAGGGAGGAACGAGACCCCGCTGTGTTTGAGCTGTTCAAGCGGGAAGTCACACAGCTTCTTCACGCCGAAGAACATGCCCAATGTAACGGGTAGCTGAACAATCGGCAGGATAGCCATCCCAACCATGCTCACGCCCGCCTTCTCGTATATCATGCGCTGTTTCATGGCAACGCTCTGGAGCGTAAGCATATCGCGGGTCTTCTGCGCTGTCTGCATTTTATCGCGAAGGTCGTTGATCTCGTCCGTGTATGGTGCCATCGCAGCCGTCGAGCGCATCGACTTCACAGTGAAGGGGAAGAGGATCAAGCGCGAAATGAATGTCGCACCGACAATCGTCCAGAACCAAGGCATCCCCGTTGACACCTGCAGTAGCTCGGTTCCCCACCGACATAGGCCTGCCGGAGTCCAGCCAGCCAGCCCGAGGGCCGCCAGGTCACCATAGTGTAGTGGCGACGGAATAGGAGTTGCAGACAGGTCGGGCAATGGGACATCCGAGGGAAGGTCGGGCAGAGAAGTGTTCGTGACAGGGGCATCTGTCGATGCGGACGCCTCGACCACGCTAGCCGACTCTGCTGGTAGTTCTTCTGGTACAAGTGCGTCAGGCCGCGCCGCCTCTACTGGCTGCTCCTGGCTAGCTTGAGCTGGCGACGGTTTTGAGGAAGAGGACCACCAGAAGCTACGAGCATTTTGGGAGAGCGAAGATCTCTCTCTAGGTATTGCAGATGGTCTCGCACGCTGCGCTGCAGTCAGTACTTGACTGACCAGTAATGGATCACTATACCTGTAATACACTGACCGAGAGCAGTCGCACTTGTGAGTGGCATACCACATGCCCTGGAAGTCTGCCCACGCTTTCGGTTTCCAGGTCCAGAAGCAGCTACAAACAACACACACCTTGGCCTGAAGCACCCTAACCTTGTGATGCTGGACATCACGCTGTCTCAGTCGACGGCCTGAACGTAGATCCTGGTACAGCACCGTCCTCTAGCGTTGACCTCGGTTCTCTTTCGAACCCTTCTGTGGTCAGACTGACAAGGTGCCAGGCAAGCAGACTGCGACAGTGAGGAATAAGCCTGACCTGTCGCCGAGATCCAACGGAATGGGAAAGTATTGCTGTCCACGTGACCGACGCGCCCACATGCGTCCACTGTCTAAGCCTTCGCGAGAACCATAGCATGAACTCCGTGACGTTGCGGCGCAAAGCTGTCGCCACCGTCCAGACTCAAAAACAGCATCATCATTTGTACAGGTATGCAGACTTACTTATGAACACGCATAGCATTATGTTTTGATGATTTACTTCGACCACATTATATTAGGGGGCACCGGGCGGATTCCTTCTTTCCCGAAGATGAAAATGAGATAGGTCTGTGAATATAATTGCCGAATTTTCGCATAAGACACCGAACGTTCCCAGTCGAGCTTCGTGCCAGGGGACGGACATTCGACGGCGCATACGCCCGGAGCGCCATGGTCAATCTCGGCTACGCCCTGACCATCCTCCGGCTTTTCGACAGGCGTTTCACAAAAAGTGGGTGCTTCATTAACAGCACGCTGTCAGAGAAACGCACTCTGATAGCTCAGCTCAATAGTTGGCTTTGTCTACGTCGTTCTAGGCACGCTCTTCTTCGTGCTCGCGTACGTTCGACAACGGCATTCGCGCCACGACTTTGCCGACCAGCATCGCACGCATACCGGTCAGCCACCCATCCAAACGGTGGGTCAGACTGGGCGGCGCAACTTCGGGCGGCCTTTCGTCACTGCCGGCTGGATTGTCATCGCCTTGACCGCCGTCGTCGCCATTGCGGAAGTCTGGATGTTGGTGCTCATCCTAGGCCTCGACACATCTGACTGATACGCTCTGTCGCACGTCTGCGTGAGTGACATTGATACAAGACAAATGCGATGGCTGATAATTGCTATGCACATTCGTAGCAGTCTTGTTAGAGTATCCGCCATCCGGTCATCTCGGCTAACGCTATCAGTGGATAGTTCTCCCTTGCCCATCTAGATGGGCGGGGACAAGATGGCGACAGCGGTCATCGGTGCCGACTAGCACTGCCTATCCTCGGACCACATCAGGGGAATGCATACACAATGGGATTCCGCACGACTGCATCCAGTACTTGATGCAATGAAGGCGGTAAGTGCCATTATCACGGAGATATATATTGCGTATGAATTTGGATTCATTCCGAAACGTATTCAAGATAAATCCCCGATCACTATCCAAGTGAAGACAAGCCAGTGTAGAGATGTACGGGGACAGAATAAATAGTAGCATGTGTGACTAAACGCATGTGGGGTAGGAACTATCGACATTGTACACATAGCATGATAACCAGAACGCAGCAAGATCGAAAGCACGAGAGACTAAGCGAGTGAGACATGTATAAGTGTAGCTTGACCTTGCACACTTGGTACCGGCGCCAGCGCCAGCAAAATCCAGTGTATGTTTTGTTCAGAACATGTTGCTGACCCCAACGCTCGACGAGGAGACAGACACGCTCCGCATACGTATAGCCTCCGCCTGCAGACTCGCGTAGGATGACGTCCGGTACGTCATCCCAGTCCCGGTCCGCGGCTTCGGCCGCGGCCCGGGGACGAGTGGTCTCACTCGTGGTGACGAGGGAGGCGGAGATGGGACGGGCGAGAGCGGAGGCGAGGCTAGCTTGCCACCATATGAAGTCGGCGAGCTCAATGTGGATGGCGAGAACGAGCGAGCCTGCGCGGCGCCAGTGGTATATGGACTAGCGAAAACCTGCGAGGTGGATAACGCCCTCGCACGCTGGCCGTCCAGCGATATTCCCTTCTTACTTGCAATGCGCGGAGCAGGCCCCGAGGGAGCACGGCCTGCCGGGCGGCGAATGCTAGCAGACTGCGGAAGCCGCAGGGGACGCATGTTCGCAGCGGTGGTCGTGGCGTTCGATGCGGATGCCGTGCTGGTGGACGACCCTGACGTGTGTGAGTGCATGGAAACGGTGCTGGTGCTGGACGCTGTGGACACGGTCCTGTTCCGGACACCTCCTGGTATCTCTGACGACTTGGCTGTGCGCAACGGGTAGGCAGGCACACGTAGGCCGCTGCTCTGCGGTGCGAGTGGAGTGGAGAGCGCAGCATTCTGGATCGATGCGATCGAGCTGGTGCTCGCTGATGCAGATGACTTGGGCTTGTGTCTCGAAATGATGCTCTGCACATCCGCTGGCTTGGGTAGGCGCACTATGCGCCGGAATGCCTGCACACCTCCCGGGTTGGTTGAAGACAACGTAGAAGAAACCGCTGTAGAAGAGGTTGTCGAAGCAGACGTAATCGAGGCGGATGACGCAGTCCTGTTTCTAGTCAATGATGCATTTCCCAAAGCGCCGCTTTCCGTCATGCTAGGGCGACGCAAGTTGGACAACGACGTCGAGGCAGAACGGTGAAGGGCACCAGAAGGTCCCATACGGAACGATGACTTTGTAGGCGGCGGCGACTGCGACGGACTCGAGTCGACAGAGTCAACTGATGAAGGACCAATTTCTGAGAGAGGGCGTGGAAGCGACGTCGACGGGCGCCGGGCTATCGACGTGTGGATGAGGCGACGGGTGAGCATCGACGGGGCGTCTTCATCCTCACTAAATATACGGTAGAAATGAGCGCACAGCCTGACTGAACAGCAACGCCTCGTACCTGTCACTCCAGCCGAGGCCAGTTGTCAGTCCCATTCCCGCACGAAGAAGATGGCCATCGCGGTGGCGCAAACGTCGTCGTGCCGTATCGCGCGGGTCCTTGTACAACAGACCCGATTTTGTCATGACCGATCCGGCTGTGAGCGGTGTCAGACCTGTTCAGCGGTTGTTGGTCAAGCGACGTACCTGTCGATGCAACACTTAGAACGCTTCTTGAGCGATCCAAGTCGTTGACGATATCGTCATTGTCCAAGGAGTATGCAGAGCCAGGCCCATGAGGTAGAAGCTTCGAGCGCGGAGAGAGGAGGCCATCACGAAACATGAGGTGCCTAGATGTAATGCGGGGCCGTCAAACAGTAGCATCATACCAAAACTCATACACTCACGGTAAAGGAGTATGCAGATCGATACTAGAGTCAGACTCGCTCCCGTCTCCTTCAAGCTCCTTCCCTGACTGTGAATCAATGTCCGAGTCGACCTCCTTCAGCCCGCCATCGTCCATCAAACCGCCGAGTGGAGAACTGGTCGCGGCTTCATCAACATTGCCTTGCCAACTTGACGGCACGCTGGTGACAGAGCTAGTCCTAGAGCGTACCCGGAATGAAGAGGGAGCAAAAGCAGCAGACGACCGCCGTCTAGGTCTAGGAGTAGTCGCCAGAATCGTACCAATGTCTGGACTTGGTGGCCTTATGGAATCTATCCCAGCGCGCTGCTGCCTTCTAGGCGGACTACCAGCTACCTCAGTCAACGCAGAAGATTCCGTTACACCAGGTAATGGTAAAGCATGACCCGGCGACTTGCTTGGCTTCGACATACTCGAAGTCCGTATGCGGGGTGAGATGGTGTCGCCAAAGCTAGGTGTCAGCATTTTGCAGGCCAGTTGTCGAGATGGGGTGAGAGGGCGGAGAGACTAACAAGCCGTCACCGAAAGCGGTCACAAACTCACGAGGGAAAATGTGGCAGCTCGTGGCAGCCAAAAGAGGGAGTCGTTGAGCTGCGTCCGACAACACTGGAGATTCAAGACATGCACAGCCGTGTAGGAGCATCAAGATGGCTCCGAATGAGACAAGGCAGGGAAGCACATGCATGTCCAACAAACATCAATTCGAACGTGACGACCACGGCCGCAATACTTGATCGGGAAACGCCGACCATGTCGGACCTGCTAATATTGAAGTTTGAGCAGAACGCTCACCTTTGGAGGTGACCTTACTACTGCCGATGATAGACAGCGCGAGAGGAAAATTCGAGCACCTGGGAAACAGGATAGGGGGGAGGAAGTGGAAGTGGAGGAAAGAGGGCGATGGTGGAAGTAGAGGAAAGAGGGCGAAAGTGGAAAGCTGATTTGACCCGTGTATCATAGGGCCCTTATACCTGCGCGCAGAGAAGGCTATGACGCAAAGGAAAGAGCGGGGATGACATCACCACCCTTAACAGACGTTGCGTCGATCGAGGGGCAAACTGTCGCCCAATTCGGTATGCCTCATACCATATTAGGATAGGTTATAGCGCGACCAAACTTGCACAACAACAAGACTACTTGCTTCAGCCCTTATCGACATCACACTTAATACGCATCACAACGAATGATTCAGACGCAAGAGCACACGTTGGCTCAGTCACCCCGCAGAGGGAAGTACACCGGGATTCTCAGTCCGAGGCCGCAGTACATCAATGGTTAAAACATTCGCGCGCCCAGGACATGATATCTGTATTGATGGTCGATGGTTGGTGGCCTTCGGAGGTCGCGTAGCTGTGTAACTACGTAAAGTAATGATGCTCTCACGTCTGGACTTAATTCCGGGCCATCCATCGCGCCGTGTGCGAAAGCAGTGCGCCTAAATCAGCGTCTGAGTCCACGGCCATGGTAAGCGCGATCGTATATACATAGGCTTATGCTCATCGACTGATGCGTACAAAGTCTATTCCTTCCCAGCTATAGGGCATGGGAAATGGCGTGGAACGCTTCAAGCTCAAACCGACGGTCATAAGTCCGTAGTGTCCCGTTATATTCTCCAAAGGCTGTATTCTAATTGCCACATGGAGCCTGCAGGACCCATAGGAAGATACCCCCGGTCCTCGTCTGTTCATAACTTCTGAGTCAGACCGCTGCGGCACTCTTGGCTTTGACAGTGGCAGTGCCGTTGTATCAGTATTATTTATGAGATCCCACTTGGATCGCATGTGGAAGTGGGATGTCTATTTAACTCGCGTACGTTCACTTCTTGAATCCCAAACCCACTGTTAGACGGCTCAGTTGACACGAATATCAATCTCCTCTTACCTTTGGTCTAGGCCTAGAATGAGGAACACATAAACGTGACCACGGGCGGTATCGTGACATCGCCGGAAAGTGCATTGAATTTCGCATGATCTAACGTCATGGTACGCATGACCAGGTTGAGACGACCACGGGACCCATCTCATTGGAAGGAATCACCTGGTGCAAGTCATCGTAGCGACCTCACCATCTCCCCGCCTCTACGCTTCGACCACCGCTAGGTCTCGGGACTGCGCTCTCAATTGCGCACGCTCCTCTCCTAGGCGTTCGATCTCCTTCAGCTCGATCGTCCGAAACAGCCATGTCAGCGCATTTCCTCCGCTCCGCGCGCTCGGGACGCGCATGTCGTCGAGCAATGTATCGGCCAACCGCGGCCAGCTGCGGGGATAGGGCGGCAGTCTGTGAGCACCGGATAGCCCGACCCGAGGATGAGCACAGTACCTCCAGAAGGCCAGGTCAGTGGCGTTGCTCTCGTTCACGAATGTGCCTGCGTCCGGGTAGCGCTTCCGCAGCCATGCAGCGTTGCGCTCCACGCATGCGCGCCCATCCTCCTTCGACTTGGGCAGACGGAGGAACGGATCCTGGCGGAAATACGACGCGATCCAGTGCGCACAGACCTCGAACACGTAGCCGTTGTTTGTTGTCAGCTTCAAACGCACGTCACGGTTATGTGAGTGATTGCAGCGGCACGATGAATGTTAAGATGCTTACAGTACCACCGTTTATAGCGAAGTCCCTGTCGAAGAGGCACTTCAGTGGGACTATCCCCCGGTAAATTGACATGGTCCATTGATCCTGCTCAGCGCACGCTGGAGGCGGATCGGACAATGTGATATAACCGTCCCATTCATGTGCATCTTCCGCTGAAGTATGCGCCGTATACTGCTTGTTGAGGCCGAGCGCCTCTATCGTTTCCTCTGCAGAGCAGTCACAATACAGTCTCCACAATGGTATTTCCACTCACGGTCCAAGATTTTGTCCCAAGTAGATGCGTGGCCCGTTGCGTTGATAATCGCTGTTGCGCGTATAACACGTTTGTCGTGGAGTACGACGCCTTGGCCGTCGTTTGCGATGGAGACTGCGCGCGCCGGGGCAATGAGCTCGATCTTGCCTCGTCTCATAAGGTCGTAGAAGCCGTCGGGCAGCCCGATGCCTTCGTCATTTGTACGCAAAGTCCAGAAGAGACTCCGGGTGCGTCGCAGGGGTGAGTTTCTTGGCACCCCCAGCGTCGTGAACTGCGGGTTGCGTGGAAGATGCGTGGTGAGCTGTGATCCTGGCTTCTCGCGTATTTTTGAGGGCTTACAGACATCCAGCTTAGCAGCTTCCATGTGGCTTGGACGATCTTGCTACCGATCCAGGACGTGTGCATGAATCTCCTAGCGTTGAAGATAAGCGGGGAGCGATCATGCAACCTACCGATTCTGCCACCCACTCTAGACGTGTGCGTAACTCTATATGCGGCGAAAACACTGACAGCAACCTGCAAATAGCTGTGATTACATTGTGAATTCCAGGCGCTGACGGACTTGCCTGCTTCTGCGCACGAAGTCAGGATACGGGATAGGGGCCGCAAAGGTCGCATCGGCCACGGTAAATACCATGCACACGCGCCTTCCTTCTCGCGTCAAATAGGCTGCAATACTAAAAGCATATGGGTCAGAATGCATGAGAAGCGTACGCGCAGGAGCCGCCGTACTCCTGCGCAGACTTCCCTCCACCCACGACTAGAACAATGTCTTCAGGGCTCTCAGAGGCCGGTTTCACAGCTCGCAGTATGTCTTCGCGACGAGGCCCGAATTCAGAAGAGTGTATGACCGGACCTAGAAATCCATGTGCGGCAGCATCCTCCTGCGATAGACCTGGAGGAACACGAGCCTGGCTGCATGCCTGTCAAAGTATTTGGCTCTCGGCGTGTCGCGCCGCCTAGCATGTGTCCACGGCTCACCCCAGTGCACAGAACAATCTTGTCGTACTCGAGAGTTCTCCGTTGGTGTGTTGTGAGATCCTTGACAGTCACAAACCAGGTACGCGAGCCAGACTCGTCGCACGGGACCTTGGGTAGTGGCTTGATATTTAGCACCTCGGTGCGATACCTAATTCTGCCTTTAAGAAAGCGCTTGGAGAATTCTTCCATATACAATCGCATGTCCTGCCCAGAGAGTCGTCCTCCGCCGGCTTTCGCGTCCCGGGATGGTGGCAGCTCTAGGGAAGAGAACCTGAATTCGCCATGAACACTGTCGATCTGTCAAAACTAGCAATTTCCTCCGAGAAGTAAGGACGCACTTGTTGATGAACAATCCCGGGTAGATTCGGTCAGCACACCACACGCCGCCTGGAGAAGGATCACGGGTGAGCACTTCGACATCTGTGAATCCATCCTGAAGCAAAGTTTGTGCAGTGACCAGACCTGCACAGCCCGCCCCGATCACAGCAATTCTTGCTGTCAGGTCTGCAGCCATCGCGGTATGTTGAAGAGCGTACGCAGAATCGGTATCAGAGGCCATTTTATTGCTTGGCAAAAGATGGGTGAGAACCCTGTGCGCGCCGCGGACATGCTATATGACAGCTGACAGAGTGCAGATTGGTCACACATATGCAAACGTTCACAGTGCCTCGTGCTCGCGATTGCCGCACAGGCGAAAATTGGACGCCCGAGTCCAGCAAATGGGCTCGTAGAACCACAGGCGACCATCGGAAAGGAAGGCGTACCTGGTTACCAGATTGAAGACGGTACGTAAGGCCGCTCTACGGTCATCGGGTCGTACTCGGGCCCTGTGACGACTCTATCAAATGCATTCATTCTGACGCGGCAACGGAGATGACGCATCGGGAGCCGTCGTTCCCTGAGCCTAGAATACTGTAGGGATCGTGTGTGAGTCTGGTGTTCATAATGTGCGCACATAGGGACCGTTATCTTGGGCGGAAGCGCTGACTTCGTGGGCAAAACTGTTCTTTGCTGATTTGAAGGAATTCTTCCGCCTCGGTAGCTACGCCTGCGCTCACAGTAATGTATCCTTTTTGCGATGTGGGCATTAGTATCACGTATCACATTCCTCAGATATTCAAGGAGGTATTTCATAGTATTCCAAGTGCCAAGCCTGCCATTGCATCAGCGTATGTCAGTGTTATGAGCTGACATTCCTGCAGCGGTATCAAAATGAATGCTTACCTCTACTGCTTCCTTGTTAGTCATTCCGAGGATAATTGAACTAGTAGAACCCCTTGCTCCGAGTTACGTTGAGAAAGTCGCAAAGAGCGTGACTGTCAGACAGTGTATTCAAGGGCACGTTTGATAGCAGACGAACATATTAAACTACCATTGCCACATCGAGTAGAAGCTCGACTCCATGACTGACTGTGGTCAATGTGAGAATACTTAGACTATGTAGAACAGGCCCAGGCCTGGTGTTCTCGTGGTTAGTATTACCTTTAGTTGCCTACGAACCTTACAGGTGAATCCTTGATTCCGCTTCAGACCCTCTGCAATGGAGCAGGAAGAAGACAAGCGTGTTTTACGAACTTACCACTGCGGCGTACGTAGGCATACTAGGTTCAGGTCTCCCGGAACGCGCGACTTGCTTGATAATACACAGTCGTTCTGTTTCCGTGTCATCATTCGGGGACGTGCGAGCACGCAACAGGCTATATGATAGACTTCGAGGTGAAAGCGGGCACTGAAAGCCCCTAGTCACAAACTCGGTGTTCATCAGGGGTCCTGTCATACAAAGAAAAGCAACGGCGTTCAGAGCATGCATGCAGCATCATTGATAACCTGAAAACCGTCTAGTCATCCTGAGTCGTTATCTAGTGGAGTGACTAAACAGCCTGAAGGACTCTATCCCCTTGATCCAGGACGAAAACACCCACTGTGACCATCACCTGACAGCAGGCGAAAAAACGATAGGCGCGACCACCCCAAGTAACTGTTCTCTCCGGCCGATGATCCGAGATGCCTCAGCCACAGCAGCCACAGGGTAGCCACCGGCTTACCCTATCTGACATACTGCTCACTCTCAATCCTGCTCATCTGTAAATGTTGGAACAACGGTGCGACGGCGCGGCGAGCGCGTTTGTCCACAGGCATAGCGATGCCCGTAAGGGACAATCGCGTTCGCGCGGGGTCGTTATATACTACGATAGGGGCCTCTGGCCCCTGGCTACTCGCGCGCCCGAGCTTTCGAGCTCGTTCCTGACCATGCAGGTCAGTGTGTTTCAACAGTAAATACATTCTGTAGACCTTATAATTCTACTGCAAGTCTCATGTGTTGCTAATACTGCTGTACTCTATCATTACAGAAGATGGATTTCATGCTAATGTGCTGCTGTGGTCACTCGACGAGCACAACTTCCCACGCCACCTTGGCCCGACCCGCAAGCCAGAGTCCTCCACCTCCACTGCCCATGCAAATTTGGAACATGACTGATCCATGTCTGTAGTGCAAGGGGGTCCTCATCAATAGGACACTGCACATCTTGTACAAAGTGCATGCACCAGCTGCTGGCTTTAGTGTAAAAGTGTTGGAACTCAGATAGAACAATTGTAAGCACTCGAACGATATGACAGTGGCCATACAAGAATGTGTGCAATGATCCTCACACTAAGTGTGATGTACAGTGGATAGTGAAGTACATACAAATTCACGTGTTCTGCTGTATCTACCGTGTTTCCCGAACATCATCGAACCTGCCACTGGTCTGTGGCTGCGGGCCTGTAGATCTGTGGCTGCTGTGGCTGCGGCATCTCGGATCATCGGCCGGAGAGAACAGTTACTTGGGGTGGTCGCGCCTATCGTTTTTTCGCTCGCTGGAAGTGAATTTGTCAGTGCCGGGAAAACAAAATATCTTATACATAAATAGCAAGGATCACCTTCTTTATCGCAGGCCTTTATGACTCTTTGGAACGAGAATCTGGAGCTCGAGAACCCAGCGAGTAGTCCAGGAACTCATTGATTTTCCCATGGCGAGAAGGTAACCTCGGCAGGTCCAGCCGGTAAGCCGAGCTGATTGGGTGAGAGACATCAGGAAGGCGTCAATAGAGCATAGCGCTCAATATGTTGCCTGTTGGCTCAGGCGAACAAGACTAGATTGTGCATCCTCAACTTCTGTGTCTCCTCAGTCGATAGGTTCTCTAATTTATCATACACTAGTAGGACGGCATGATGTTGCGCGAGCTGAGTCCTGTCTGAATTGACTGTCTCAGGACATTCCGTGCTAGCATACCTAAACAATCGGCGGGGCATGCTGCTGGTAGGGTTATCGGCGGGGCTGGTCGAGTCTTTAGTGCCACCTATGAACAATAGAAGGGCGGCCCGAGCCCGGACTATATTCTACTAAATTTGTTCGCCTTCCTTCGAGTCTACGCTTCAATCCCGTCTTTAACCCCTCCACCACAATAGAGGCGGCTCGTGTGATACTGCGGAAATGGTGCGTGGTTACTCATAGGAGAAAGCGAGCCACCTTTTACTGGTGAAGAACAATGCGTACTACCGTCAGTAATGCTACCACCTTTTCGCCACATTGTTTCATGCAACGTGGCGAAGTCGTCAACGGTATCCAGGAGTATCCAAGCGACTATTGTGCGCACGCGCCACGAGGTTGGTGGGCCAATGCGCATCAATCCAACCTGTATAAAGTCCACGTCGCGCTCTGCACCTTTCCGCCGACTCACGGACAACCTCGAAGTGTATGTTTTTGCTGCTCGATTTGATCAGGCTTTGTTCACGTCTTAGTCTTTCAGACAGCATGCAGAGTGGCAACCCATTTCGTCTCTATATCACTCTGCACGAACGCGGCGCATCGTCCGCTTTCCATTGGGCGATACTGCTCGCACCAAAGGAGGAGAGCAAGGACCCACAAGACAAAGATTGCTACGCCTTTCACGCCGTTAATATCGCCGACCATCAATACCCGCGAGGCCCACAGGGTCAGCTTACATGGCGCTATCATTCGATGCGTACGAGTCCTCGGGCGAGCAAGAGAATGGTGGCCCGGATATTGGTCACCGAGCAATCATGCACTACGTCGTTGCACAGAGTACAGGACTTCATAAACAGGCTAGTGGGCGACTTGCCTATCAAGACAGACGAGAGCGGAGCCAGCAAGACTTGGGTTTTTGACGCCTTGGATGAATTGCGCAGCAAATGGGCTGATATCCCGAGGGTCACCTCTGACTTGGAATCCCAAATCATAGCTAAGGCTGAGGAAGCTCGACGATCCGGTGTCGAGGCCACAAACGCCCCCATTTACGAGATTCTGGATGGCTTTACATTGCAGGAGCTGGTATGCGGATGCTAATGCAGACAAAGGTGCGATAAGGTTCATCGTTTGTGTATGTGCATGTATGTGGGGGAGGGAGACGAGGCTAGATGTTTCGACGTGGTTCAAAAGTGATTGTCGCACATAGCACTTGCATCCTGAGTAGTCTCCGGTAGAGTTTTGTCTCAACAATGGCGCCGACGCGACTCGGAGAGCATCGACGAAGCATATTCATCGACGAAGAGTTGTCGGCATCTAGTCGTCACAATATTGTCGGGCGAGCGTACAAGCAACTTGCTTAAATTCTAGAAGACAGATTGCAGTGAGGACTCAGAGCGATACAGATCATTATAGTCCGTGTCATCAGCGTATCGTACATCATGATACACACCCCTCCTACATGTGCAGGCCTGCTCACCTACGAATTTACACCTGACCGAGCGGCTCATAGCCTTGCCGACTGCTCCCACTGCGGCCGAGACCGAAGCCCATGAGGAGCGTCTTCCTCAGCGACTTCCGGCCACCCTCGCCGTGCAGATCCTCGCGCTCCTCATGCTGTTGGCGGCGCTTCGCCTCCGCGAAACCCTCCGGCGGCACATCGTATAGCCGCTCGTATTCCACGCCCAGCTCGCGGCCCTTTGTCCAGAAGTCTTTACAGTTCCCGAGCATCCCTAAATCGAAAGGGTTCGGTGCCTTCGCCGCGCGAGCCAGGCCGTCGGCCGCCTTGCCCTTCGTGAAGCGGTCGAAGCCAAGCAAATTCATGAGGAAGCCACCGCCGCACCCTCCGCACAACCCATGGCTATGGTTGTGGCGATGACCGGCCTGCGCAGCTTCGCCACCCTCGCCACCTGAGAGCCCTTGCCGATGCTGATGGTGCTGGTGGCCCATCTGGCTGCTCAGGCTGGCGCCACCACGGCCGCCCATGAATCCATATCGCCCGAGGTTGGATACCTCGAACGTCGTGAGCTGGCGAGCAACTTGCCAGTACTGACTAGCAAGGAGGACGATTGTCCATGAGAGCTGCAGTGTTGACCAAATGGCGACAGAGAAGAGGAACGTATCATATGCCGTGATTGCGCACAAAGAACCTGGCAAGATGCAGGCTGGTGAGATGTGGCTGGGATCAGTCGGAACCTCAACGGAAGCGAAATCTATCAGACCGTGAGCATTCTGTGGGCTTCAACACGAATACTATTTACTTACACGCGAAGGTGAGGTAGTCAAAGAGGATGATTCCAATGACAAGAGTCGTTACAAAGAGTAAGAACTGCCGATGGTTGTTCACGCCGACTGAACAAAAGAGTGAGTCTCCTCACAGCGATACCGTGTGAGAAACTTACCGCAGTTCCACACCCAGGGACAATGACTGCAAGCCTAGTCAGCATAGCTCATACGAGTACTGAAATTGACGTACTGATCCTGGCGCGCGACGCAGCGGTCGCATGTGCGACAGTGCTTCGAACGCAAGGGTTTCCGAGCCTGACGCCAAAAATCAATAAAAGTCCCAGACAGAAGCGAAGAGAACGGACCATGCATTGAATGCAGAACGTCTGGCCGTTGAGACGGCCTTCTGCTGCGAGGTCTTCAATTATCTTCCATTCTGACATGAGCACCCGGTAATTGACGACCAGCTCCGAAGATGCTATACTTACCGACTTCAACTCGGCATCACTCGTCGGCTTCGGGCATGTCCCCGGATCTAGGCTTATGGCGCGGAAGAAGTTGTATGCACACAATCCCAATGAAATGGCAAACATCAGATGCGTGAAGGCGTGCGACTGCGTCTCTGAATGACAAGATATGGGGTTGATTAGCCGCCGGCGTTCCTGCGAAAATCGGACAATACGTACGATTGACGAGACGCGTGAGCCAGCTGTAGGCTACCCACACCATCGAAGCGAAGATGATACCCGCAAAATATGGGCTTTGAGCGACGCTGTCGGTGTAGTTCGATTTATCTAGGAGGACACGAGTGACGACCTGCAGATGATCAATCAAGCACAACTCAAAGTTGAACAACTAGGACGCTTACATGGTGCATGCCAAAGAACAACGCCATCGAAAGGATGACGCCAGTGTACCACGGCAAGATCATGAGCGTCGTGAACATCAGGAAGAAGGAAACAGTAGGCAACGTGAAGATAGCCATCTTGGTGTTTCGTTCGCTGAGCGGTTTGCGTTTCTTCGTACCGTCTTCGTTCATGCCACCCTCCTCCAACGCTCGTTTCCACGCACCGAGACTCTTCAGCTCGACAGCCATGTCCCGCGCGGTCCTGCCTTCGCCATCCTTCGCAGCGATGACCGCTCCACATTCGATTAGCCGCCGAATGCATATTCGGTTCCCCCGAACGACTGCCCAATGTAGCGGCGTGAGCCCCGTGTCATCTTGAGTGTTGGGACTTGCCCCGTGCTTCAGCAGCAGGTCCACGGACAGCGCGTCGCCCTGATACGCAGCCCACATCAGCGACGTGTGCCCCTGCGAGTCACGCGAGTCGACACTGATGGGCTGGTGCAGCAGGTAAAGCAACGGCATCACGGAGGACGAGTGCGTGACAAGGTGCAGAGTGTTGTACCCTTGCGCGTCGGCAATGTTTGCGTCGGCGCCGTGCGCGATGAGTAGCTGAATGACGTAGAGGTAGCCATTCCGCGCAGCCCACTGCATGGGGGTGGCAATGAGGTCTCCGCCCAGGGCATCGACCTCCGCGCCCTGCTCGAGCAGGTATCGACACGCAGCAACTTGGGCGTTTATGGATGCCCAGTGCAGCGGGGTAATGTTCTGGTCGTCCCGGTCGGTCGCCTTTGCCTTACCGGACTCGATGAGCTCTCGGAGGAGGCTCACGTCACCGCGTTGCGCCGCTACAAATATGGACACCTGCGCTGGCATAAAATTGTGTTTCATAGGATAGCCTACAGCCACCTACCTCCGCGTCTTGCGTGCCATTCGCCGGCGTAATGTTCGTGGCGGATACAGATGTAGGCGTTACTGAGGAGGTAGAAGGCTCTCCCTTGAGCTTCACTGCGGACGTTGGATCGTCCATGTTGGGTCAAATAAACACAGTGGGTCCGTCGGTGTCGTCTACAGCTCGTTGCTCGTTGGTTGCAACGAGGAGCGCAGCGCAGTGCGGTGCAGCATCGTGCTCGGGCTGCGAAATGGGCGAGCCGGGGCCACGTGCCCTCACCACAACATAACATGATTAACCAAGGCAGTTGGTATGGCGCAGCAACATGGCGCAGCTGGAAGCGCGCGGGGCTCATAACCCCGAGGTCACTCGATCGAAACGAGTTGTTGCTATAGAATATTTTTGATTTCTGCGAACAGCCCGCACTTCCTATCGCATACACAAGCGATACATTATGAGGCACCAAAATATCATCACTTAGTACGAACGAGTGGTCCAATGCACACTGCGATTCACACAAAAATTACATTCCGACTCTTACAACTCCTGGTGAGCAAATGCCCGCAAGATGGTCGCCACGCCCGCGATGACAGCAACCAGTACAGCGCCGCTTGGGTACACGCCAGCCGCCCTGTCCCCCGCGCTGCTCCGTCCCTTGCTCGTGCTCCCAAGTCCAAAGTCCTGACCTCCGTGCCCGTTCGAGGTCGCCAGCACACTCGGGTCGACACCCGCCACCTGCGTGCCGCGCTGTCCCGCCGCCGTGGCCGTCGTCGCGAACGTTATGGTGCTCGTCGGCGTGGACTCTCCCAACGCGCTATTGGACATAAACACGAGCGCGAACCCGGGCGCGGGAACCGTGACGGTGCATGTGTTCGCCGTCTGGTCGCACGGGACCGTCTCGACGTGCTGCGAACCCTGCAGGCGGCCGTCCGAGGAGAACTGACCGCCGAAGGTCTAGAAGTGCGGACAAACCTGGTGAGGAAGCTGATCTGCGAGTGACGGCGAAGACAAACCTGTCCGGCCCATGTGATGTTGAATTTCTCGCCGACGGACGGCGCCAGGAGGTACCTGCGCAGTCGGACGTCAGAGCTACGCAACGCATTCGTAGACCTGACAGCTGACTGACTTCACATAAACCTGCGCGGGAACGGCACTCGGCTGGCCTGCCACGCCGCCACTGAAAGACACCGTGGCATTGTAGTCGTTCGCACCCGATGGATCCGTCATGTAATTGAGCAGCGCAAGGCGTGCAAGCGCTCCATTCTCGTAGATCGCGTAGCCTGGAGTGTAGTCGTTGTTCCCGTTCGCGTACAAGTCGATGACTCGTGACGTATTCGTCGACCCGAGTGTCTCAGACACAGCCAGCACGGAGTAGAAGATGGGCCCGATCGTCCATTGGTGGTAAGAGGACTGGTTCGTGGGCGGCGCTGCGTCACATGTAACCATGAATACCCCGAAAATCGAGGCCGTAGCAATATGACTCACGAGTGAAAGGCTGCACCGAAAGCGTCAGTAGGAACCTCACGTTGAACACGAGAAATAGATGGTGCTCACGTTGTAGTACACGTCCTGTCCTCCAACATGCAAGAGCGCATGTGAGAAGTTGCTCGCAGCCATCTGCAGCCCATAGTCGATTGCCCACAGCGCCGCACCAAGGCTGTCGCTGATGCCAGGAAACCCACCGCACGACGCAGTGTTGGTCTCGAACATCACGAACGGCTTCCCCGCGGCGAGCGCGATGGCGCTCGAGTTCAGGTACGGCGCCACGATGCTCTTGCCCGCTGCGTGTGTGAGGTAATTCGGGAATTCCGTCTGCGGGTCCTTCGGCGGGCCGAAGCCAGAATATATGGCCGCGCAGTTGTCGTCAGGGTAGCTATACACAAAACATTTGTAAGGACACATGTGGCGGGATTAGCAACCAGAACACCGACTGCTCTACCGTCAGCGTATGTATACTGTTCGTGTACGCCTCAATAAAGCCGGTGTTCCAGACGTCTGGCAGCAACGTGTTCAGCGACGCCTATGCCTTGCCTGTTCGTCATACCTTCCGGAGTCCAATCTCCTGTAGCCACGTTCGGTGCGATGAGGTTGTTGCTCACAGAAATGTTTGGATCTGCCTGCATTGCCGCGACGACTTGACCGAATTCGCCGAAATAGTCATACGGGCCGTATGTCGACGCCCGATGCCCGTGCCTGCCACCAAATAAGATAAGCACAGATAACGCGTAGTAAAATCTGAGGAATACGTACCGTGCATAAAGATCCGGCTCGTTGCCAACCTGCAAACCGAGAAGATTGTCACCGAGAATACGCTCACCGTACTCTGCGATGGCGAGCCGCAGGTTGGACGTATCATTGAGCGGAACACCGAGATACCACTTCGTGTTCACAAGAGCAGAGATGTTCGACAGTAAGTAGAGGATGTCTGGTGTATACAATAGGGCCGGTGTCTCCGTCTGACGTTGCACATTCCTACCTAATCAGAAATCCTGAGACGCTGCGGTCGCACGTACCGGATTGTTGCCTGCCGTTTCTTGCTTCTCAACCATCTTCATATCTGGGAGACTCTGCACGAGAGTAGCCGTCTCCTGGGTGTTACCACCGACACGAATGTTGACGCGACCAGCGCGTTCGGACAATAGCGCCATCAGGTTCAGAAAAGGGACCTGCAGGAGCGAACTGAAACTCTATCAGTCACGAGCTGTACGCAGGGTTTGCCGACCTTTACCTGTTCTTCCCCACTGTAGCGCAAAATTGAATCGCAGAAGAACTCGCAGAAGCGACCGTACTCACAGACTTGGTCCACAACTGACATCTCGATGGAAAACCCAAGGAACGCGCCGCTCAGCTGTATAGATAACGCAGTAACATCGCTTGCACTGGTGGATAGCTGAATGCCAAACTGCGTGGGCGGCAAGGGATTCGGCAAGGCTGGCGCATTCAGAACAGTTGGGTCGTAAGCGGCGGCCCCAGTATATGTCGAACTAGATGCGCTGGTGGTCGGGGTGACGCCCATAGGGACCTGACTGTACACTGTGACCGCGCGAGCAAGTCCTCCGGAGGCGAGCGCACAATAGAGAAATAAGGAGTGGAGGATCATAGCTGTTGCCCGCAACAGACGCTGTGAGTAGGATGTCGCCGACTCTTGCGCGGGGTGCTACACGGACGGAGGGGAATGTTGAACTGGGACAAAAGGGGACGCGCGAAGTGAAGCTTCCCCGCAATCGCATCTCCGAGCCAGAATATGTCAGTCAAGACGTGTAGTGTGCTCGATCGTGACAGGTCGATCAGCTCAAGTATCCCCGCTCTGAGCACAACATTCATGTTTCTATCATGGCACACGGATAACATGACATCGTGCTCGCATTATGAGCAGAAATAAACCCATGGGACAGCACGATGTATAGCACTGTGCAAGCATCAAGTCATGGTATCACATATGCACTGAATAGTGACTCACAATGGACGCTCCAGCGAGCTAAACACGAAAAGAAGAGCACCCTGCATAGCTACTCTACCCAAAGGTGGACCCGGGCGTCACAAAAGCCAGGATAAGGTGCCGGCTTCAAGCGGATCTCAGAAGAAAGGAAATGCCGTTAGAGTGTTACATTCTGGCCAGGCAGCGACCGATATATTGGAGTGAAGCCGTTTTCAAGCTGAATGTGTAGGCTAATCGTGAAAGACAGAAGATCAACAAAACCACTGCCCAGAATTTTCGAGAGATGCTGTAGCCTGTCAACAGTTTTCCGAAGGATAGTAAAGACCAGGCTCGTAAACCAGCCATCCAGCGCTCACGCTAGTGGGCGGACCCCGTTTTTTACACGGTCAAAAATGTAAATTACAGTAAATCACGGGACCTTTGCTCTTCGGCACGTGACGCCCCTCCGGCGTGTAAAAAATAGTAAAAAAGTGTAAACATATGTAAAAAAAAAAGCCTCAGGGAGCGTCCGATTTACACGCAAGGGCGTACAGAGTTTCTAGTACACGCTGTAAAGTACCTACACATCCCAATTAAATTGCCACAATGTCTTACCATCTTCTGCCGGCTCGTTCACATTTACTAGCTCCGAGTCCTCCTGAACATCCATGCGCGGCCGTTGTGAATTTCCAGCCCTAGACGACGGCGGCGATGTCGCGAGCATCTCTAGAAGGAATATCATGAAGCAGCATATGTACTGCATCCGCAGTCGCATTTGTGGACCCGTTCCACTGCTGTTGATGCAAGAGCCACTGTCCGGATGCAGACCAAGCATCGAAATGGGGACGAAGTGCGTGAAGTTGCTTCCAGAGCATCAGCACAAACAGAGGGAACAGGATGGCCGCTGACTTGTCCTTCAAGTGATGGTATGTGATAGATCGCCGTCCGTCTAGCCACTGATCGCCAACAGTTTTGAGTAGTGTATTGACAGTATCTTGATTGGGAATAGCCAATGTACGCAAGAGTGTGAGCTGAGGATGCGATGGTGCTGCCGTCGAGAAGAAGTGGAAGGTGCTCCGGCTAGAGAGATTTGTTTCATTAGAAACGAGAGGGAAGCTTGTCGAGAGTATTGTGTGCACGGTAGCATTTGGCAAAGGTAGTACCAAGGATAGTATTGCTGGTGGCAGCGAAAGTTTGGCCTCGAGGGCCGTCTTGACATAGGCAGGTAAATCTTTTGTGAACTTCTTACCAGACCCAATCCATTCGCTTTCTAGGAAGACGCCAGCGTGGCTCGTCGACTGTGGTGCCATGGGAGTGACCGAGGGGGATGCTGCCAGAGAGCAGCCTGCACAGCAAAAGATTGGGGGGAAATACAATTGATTGGACTTTATATATAATCTAGCACAAAGAGACCGAACGTGGCGCACTAAACCTACGCAGCGGCGTTGACAAAACAATAGCCCGGGGCAGCGTGAGAGGCACAAGAGGCACAAGGCATCAAGTGGTGGCTGGACACGGGTACCCAACACGTGACCCCTCCTTATTTACATTATTTACACCGCTAATCAGACAGCCTTGTGAAAAAGTATAAATTACCTGTAAATTACCTGTCAAAAAGTACGGTGTAATTTACACCGATTTATTTGCCTTACACTAGAATGGCCGCTGGAGCACCGCGTCGCACGTCGGTCACGTGACCGCTCCCCAATGAGGTTGGCGCGTCGCAGCCTGTTCCAGCGCGATCTAAAGGTTGCTCTTGTTCCCGCACGAGAGACCCCCTTAGGCTCTGCGTATATTTAGCGAAATACTTCGGCGGCATTTGAGAGGCTGTTCTCCTCTAGGAACTAGCGAGCGCAAAGTGTAGCAAGACACGGGGTTAAACCTCCAGGGACTTGTCTCACAAGGTCGCATTGGTGCATCCGGAGACTCAGTGAGTGCTGGAGACTTTGAAGCCCAAGTCGTTCAATATGTCCTATACTATTAGCCGATATGACGAGGTCTTCGGCTTAACCATGGTCAAATCAAGTATCGTACCCACACTGTACATGGCAGCACCTCATGCCAGAGCCACCATTAAGTCAATATGACACTTGGACAAGCCTCTTGGGCCTGCGCACATCATTGCTAATTCTGTAGTCCGAAGACATCACGCGTGTGTGCGACCATCAGTCGCTCATTAAGACTGCTCAGGCTTGACGTACCGCTCTATCCCTCCCATACGCACGGTCATCGCGATTACTGTGACAGAGCGCTCCTCGTTGCATGACAATGATATCTGCTGCGCTGCTGATCATTACACCGAAGTGGCTGCTTACGAGTGAGTCGACCTTGACCTGCGATAATATCAGCCTGTGTGCTGCATTGCCGCATCATCCGGCGCGCACATCGTGTCAGCTGATCTCAGGGCATGCAGCACGTCGTGCTACTCTGATGGTGATGTCCAAGATGCCGTGTCACATACGAGAGGCTCTTGCAGATCTCGACAGGATTATGCTCACGATGACAATAGGTTAGGATGAACAGCACTACCCGCTCATGGTAGAATGAAAGTATGAAGGTGTGTACACGCACTGTAATCGTCTCAAGTATGCTCGCCGAGGCCATAGAAAGACTGTAGCGACTATGCAGTTGCAAACTCCAGCCGCATACACGAGGTACTATATATGGTAAGTCAAGCTTCTGTCGCAGCGTCGCGGCGGCGAACGCTGGAACGTTCTAGCACATACCGGGCTAGCGGCGCATGATGGGCGGGGGACGTCGCACGCTCCATATATGGGCGCTCCCGACGTTACTAGAAGCGTCTCCACCGCCAGGCTCGTCCTCGAATTGCCCCGAATCTCCACCCTACCATATATTAATAATCACATTTACAAGGCGCATCCACAATCGCACGCTATTGACCTGCTACCCATATTATCCTACAACATGTTCGGCTATAACCCGTACGGAGACTACTCCAACCCATACGCGTATTCGCGCGCCGCGCCTGGATACTCACCCGATCAAGACTACCTGCAGGCCCTCGCTGATGAGCGCGCGGCGCGCGAGCAGTACTTTGCCGCCCGTCGCGCACAGGAAGAGGCCCGCGAGCGTGCTGCACGCGCGCGCGCCGCGCGCCAGGCCTACGCGCCGTACAACTCATACTACTTTGACGACGACGACGGCACTCACGAGGACAATGACTACTACGACGGCGCGTACAGCGCCTCTCCGTATGGCAGCTACGGATACGGTATGTCGCCCGCCGCCCGCCAGCGGAGAGTCATGGCGGAACAGCAAAGGAGGCGCGAGCAGCTGGAGAGGGAGCAAGAGCGCTTAAGACTGGAGGAGGAACGGAGGAGGCTCGCGCAGGAGAGGCGGGCTATGGAGGAAGAGCGGATGCGGCAGCTCCTGGCCGACGAGCAGAGGCGGCGAGACGAAGAAGAGCTGTATCGTCAGCGGGCGAGCCAATATGATCCTTTCTTGCGTGGCTTCAGCTGGCTGCCTGGGGACGGGGACTTGGTAAGCCACTATACTATCCCTGCGTATGCTTGATCAGTAGACTAAGACCGCGCGTAGAACACTCGCACTGCGCGGACACCGCTGCGTTCACAGACCGTCGCACCGTCGAATAGGCGACAACCGACACACAATCCCTTGCACGCCATGCATACTCGTCTGGACCCCACCGGTGTTGGTTCAAGATCGGCTTCTGTCCCACCGCGCCAACCACCCAGCCCCGTCCCGCGGCACGCAGGCACATCCCCGCGGCAGACCATCCCCATTCGCACGCCTTCGCCGAAAGAGAGGACGAATTCCCCGCCCAAATCGCCCGCGCATCAGCCCGTGCAGCAGTACACGCCGGAGCAGGACGCTGCTGCGCGCAAGATCCAGGAGACGTACCGCGCGCATGCCACACGCGCCAACGCGCTCCGCACCATCGCCGACCTTCGCATGCGCTTCGACGGCCTGCGCTCAAACTTCGTCTTCCCCGCCGCGCTTGATTTCGTCGTGCCCGGTGGCGGGCAGATCGCGGTCCGCGCGGACGTGGATGCATTAGCGAGCGCAACGCAAGCCAGCCCGGACACAGATGACGCCGCGGAGCCGACGCGCCCGGACCTTGCGTACACGCCGGGCAACGCGCCGCTGCACGCCTATGTCGAGGAGCTCAGTCGGCTGCTGACCGCACTGGATGCTGTGGAGAGCCGTGGAGTGACGGAGGTCAAGGGCCGGCGGAGGGCCCTTGTGAGGGAGGTGGAGGGCGAGGCGGAGAGTGTGGAGAGGAGGGTGAGGGCGGTTTGGGCGGCGTGGGTGGAGAAGACGAAGGCCTCTGCTGAGCCTTCTGGCTCTCGGTCACCGGTCGACCTCGATACGGCGCATCGAACCGGCACAGCGGTTGAGGCACATACAGCTCTCGACGCGCAGCCACAAACTTCAGCAGAGACGTCGATGGAGGTCGAGCGAACATCGCCAGCGCAGCCCCAGTCGGACTGCTCTCCCGAAAGTCCAGATACGGCCATAGTGGAAGAAGTCGAAGACAAGGACGCTGAACCTCCCATGAGCGCCGAGCCTCACACGCAGTTGTTTGATGATAGCGAGCGGATGGATGAGGCCCCTGACGAGATAACTATCGAGGTGATCGAAGCAGAGCCCGAACCCCCAGAGGACGAGGATGAGATAAAAGCCGATCTCGAGGACGGCGAGAAGATGCAGGTCGAGCCCGCCACAGTGGAGGCAGATTTCACCTTTGAGCGCTTGCCGGCCCCGGACAAGGATATTCCAGTCGCACCTGCCCTGTCAATTTCTGCGCCTTCGCCCGAAGAAGCACCTCCCACACCAGAAATCGACGTCGTGGACGAGTCTGCTCCGGCGGTATCAGCGACCCTGCCTCAGACTCTGACTGATGACGAGACCTGCTCGCCGCCGCCCGACGCTGACATACCAGATACGCCTTCCGAGGACCGGGAGCCCGATGTCCTCAGAGGGGAACATCATCCAGCTAGATCGCCGTCAGACGCGTCGGATACCTCTCAGTCTTGCCCGACTGCGGATGTAGACGCCTCTCCAGACGCCACCGTGCATCTCCACCCGAAAGTCTCAGGATTCGTCGAACCTGCGCATCACAGCTCGGGCTCGGGCAAGCCGCCAGCGCCTGCAGATGACCCGGATGTGGCGGCGGTATTCGCGCACATTGAGCGGCGCACGCCGGAGCAGACGCGCCTATGGATGGAGCGGACGCAGACGCAGACGCACCAGGAATTCCCGCTGACAATCCCGAGGATTGATCCTCCCGGCCGGTGTAGAGCCTAGCGCGGACATGGAGGACGAGCCTGTCTCCCAAACCCTGGAGGGTTGGCGTCGCGAGCTTGTCGCGAACCATACCACAAAAGCATCTGGACACGGCTTCATTGCCCGCGGTGGCCTCTAGCAAAGCTATCACAACAGCACCAGACAGGTGGTTGTCCGTGTATCGACATTCAGCGCGGTGCACGCTCAGACAGATACATTTTCACATACCACCAACATGCAGGGTACCCAATATGCATCT